ACACTACTTTGTTAATGGCAAAATAATAAAATGTAATAATATGGCAATAATAGTCATTGATATTTATAGTTATATTTTTCAAGTGAGTTTAAAGTGATTTAAAAACACAATTTCTTTAATCCTTACATCACATTTCTCAAGCAACCTGTTATGAAAATTATTCTAATTGGAAAAGATAATATGTGTATTTCCATTTTAGTAGGTTACCTTAATATTGCAGAACTCGGGACCCAAGTAAGAGTGCTGTTTGTCATACCCATTATCTTTTTGTAATATTTTCCCATGAACTCTTTGAAGCCCCCTCGTTTAGGAAGACTGTGGAATAATGTGTGAGTACGCATGTGCAAGAGAGAAAGACGGGGAGCAGGGAAACAAATTAAGAATACACTACAGTAGCTAAAAGAAAACGTTACAGGCATCTGATTTACCAAGTGGCATCCTTACATTCACTTGTCACTTAAAAAAAAAACCAAGCCATGCTCCCCATACAAAAAGAGGTATGCATTTGAAGTGCTTCCAATAAGGACACCAGATGTGGCTAACCATGACTTTTTTTCCCTTGAGAAAACCCACAGACAACATGGGTGTATAAACCGTCCTCAACAGAGAACATGACATTTTCGCCACATTCGCTGAGACCAGGAGGCATCAAAGGCTCTTGCTTGCTCCTTTCACTCTTCTAAGTATACACTACACATTTGGTGCTCTATGTAAATTTAGTTGAACAATCTTGACAAGAGTGGTTTCATAAGTAAACCTGAACTCCCAGACTCAAAGACTTTAGATCAAGGACAGATTTGCAGTAGCAGACGTTAAAAGGTTGACTACAAGAGCATGTCTATGAAAATGCTTTCACCCCATTTGGGGGCCCGAGGTGACTGGAGGCAGAGCATCACCTTGGGCGATGATCAACTCTCGATTGAGCTCAGGCACTGGGCAGACTGTGCAAGCTGCTGAGGAGGAAGCCCTGAGTGGGGCAAATGGAGAAGCTCACAAAAGGTGGGAGTTGGAAGCTGTTCCACGGCATCTGGGAAGACAGGTCTGGCCATCCAAAGGGCATAGCTTGGAAACCATATGGTACAGTTCGACTTGGCACAAATGGGGTGCCAAGTGTCGGAATCCACTAGAGGGCGACTAACAACTGTGGACTGATCATTCTGAGGGGAACCCCTCAAACTCACTGTCAGGGAGCCTAGTCCGACTCTTATCGACCCTACAGAACATGGTACACCGGCTCCTGGGGGTTTCCCAGACGGTAACTCTAAGGGGAGTGGACAGTGTCAAGTTTCTCCTGGGGAGCGGCTGGTGGTTTCAGACTGATAACCTTGCAGTTAGCCCCCCAGTGCGTAACCCACTATGCCACTAGGGCTCGGCCAAAGGATTCCTCCCTACACAAAGATATACTAAACACAGAGACTAGGAAATAGAGGCTTGGAGGCCTGAGGCCTGTAACCCACCCCTGCCCAAAGGAAAGGTTCAACCCGTCTGTCCTAACCTCCCCAAAGCCTGTTTGCTAAGGCCAAATTATATATATACATATACGTATATACCCACGCACGCATGCATACATATACATTTACACACACTTGTTTGATAGATAGATATAGCTATAGATGATATAGATAGAGATATAGATGTAGATGTAGATATAGATATAGACATACTTGTTTGCTAAAGGCCTAAAAATATATTATTACCCTTAGCCCTTTCCTTCCAATCCCCGCCCAGCCCCTGCGAGAGAGTCTCCCCACCTCCCTTTCCCCTTCCGCTCTCCTGCTCACTTGTCCCGGATGATCGTCTGCAGCTCCCGTATCTGATCATTCATAGGCAGCAACTTCAGTTGCGCCCCCATCAGCCGGGAGAGTTCGCAGTCCGCTAGGAGAGTCTCAGCACCTGGTGCGTCGCCGCTGCCACTACCACTGCAGCTCTGGGCGCCCTGCCCCGCCTGTACGCTGGAAGGGCTGCGCCCTGCGAAAAGAGCCAGCTTGGCAGTAGAGGCACTGTTTACCCCGGCATGGTCCGGGATCGGGTCACCAGGTTGCAGGGACTCGGGGCTTGCAGTAGAGGCAGAAATGGCTTGCTGATTGTGACAAGGCATGGGGTCCAGAAAACGGAATTCCGTGGCCATACACCGGGTCCCGGGCTGCCCCCGCTGCGATCAGCCCTTATCGATAAAAGAGAGAAGGGGCCGAGGTTACACGTGGCCCACCTCCACCCCAGAACACTGCCTCCAGCTCTGACTCGAACCCTGGTTGCCCTTTCACCCCGGGCTGAAATCGATTTCCGTCGCTCTGTCCTCCCACTCACAGCAGACGGTTTGCCTCCAAGAGCACCCCATTGGCTTCTCTCTCCGCCACTCCGAGGATGGCGGCTTGGTAATTAACCCTTTGAGTCGCTTGCCTCGTTTGGGTTCCTGTAACTAGCCTGGCACGCTGGGTGAGAGCCAGGGCCTGGGTGTGGAGTCCTCGGCGGGCAGGGGAGGAGGGAGAGTTTCAGCATGCAGTGATCAGTAGCGCCAGGAAAAAAATATTACACACATAAGGCCCATGTTTTCAGACTTTGTGTCTGGCAAAGAGATGATCTATCAGCAACTGCATCTTCAGTTAGCCTTGTCGGGGTAACTGACACCCTTGCAGCGGAGGCCATTTCCGCTCTCAGCGACCGTGGAGCACAGAGTTGAACAGGCCGAAGGGGCAAGTTTCCAGGCCTGCGACCTTTGCAGAAGCAAGCAGCCCAGCGCTTAACCACTGCACCACCATGGCTCCTGGCCACTGAAGAAAGGGCTGAAAATGCCTCGCTAAAGAGTCGGGCCTCTTCAGGCTTTTCGACAGTCTGCAGCTGTCCACGTTTGCTTGACCACGAGAGCGTGACTGTGAAGATTCTGACCGAATTTCAGAACCACTGTCACTTGATTTCTTGAAACACTTGAAAAGACCCTGTTATCGGTGTGTGGACTCGGTGTAAGGCCTGTGGTAAGCGTGTCTGAGGCAATGTTTCTCCAATTAAGGATCAGAAATTGTAGAGCGTGTTAAAATGCAGCCTGTTATGGCCCGCCATTGAGATTTGGATCCATGGGATCTGAGATGGGACCCAAGAATCTATATATTTAACAAGTATTGCAGCAATTCGGAGTTTTTAAAATTTTATTCTTTGGAAAACAGTACCTCTTTTTAAAGCACTACCATCTGAAAGTTGGGAAACCGCATTCCACACGACCCGCTCCCCGCCCAAATGGAGTAACAACATGTGGTACGTCCCTTCCATTTTCTGGACTTGAATTTCCACACCTAAAGAGTCAGCTGGAATTTGATCCGTAAATGTTCTTCCAATTTTGACATTCTATAAATCTATTTTCCTTCCAAAAAGCCAATTCTTACATTGCTTGTTCTGCACAGAAACATAACAAATACATGCAGAGATTCAGAGAAATGTGAGTAATAGATAATTGGAATACCAGACCTTTGGTGAGACTTGAGCAGGTTCTCTGTCCTTGTTTATACGTTTCTTGCCCTGGTTTATGGTGGTTTTCTCCATGTTCGCGCTTTTTTCTACTTTGTGTCTGACCCAGGTCAGTGTACTATATAAGTAGAAGATTTTAATCTGATTAGATGATAAGAATTGCAGCTCAAAATTATAATCACACTTTTTTTAAAACCCTGTGGTTCTTTTAACATTAAAAAAATGATCAAGAGTTTAAAAGATCCATCTACTGGCTTGAAGGGAGGAGAGGCATTCAAGCAGCTACTATGAAAATAAATATTCTAAGGCAAAACACTGAAATCGAGTATTGTATTAGCAATGATTTAAATAAAGTAATGAAGTATGAATAGTATTGTGATATCCTAGGACTAAACCTTCTGTAGTAATCCTTCTCTAGCACAAGTGGACTTGTTCTCTATGCCACAGAATATGTTTTTTTTGGTTAGCTTTGTTTATTTTTTCCCTACATTTTATTGGGGGCTCTTACAGATATTATAAAGAGCCATAAATCAATTATATCAAGTGAACTTGTACATATGTTGTCATCATCATTTCCAAAACATTGTCTTTCTACTTGAGCGCTTTGATATCAGCTCCTCTTTTTTCCCTTCTCCCACCCTTGTGAACCCTTAATAAATTTTATATATATATATATATATATATAATTAAAGGTTAAAGGTATTTTTCTATAACTTTTGAAGCTCCTTTTATATGATTTCTAAAAACTACCTCACAATTTTAA